TGAGGGACCACCTTCACTTGTCTTAGACATTGTGGAACTATATGAAGAATTGCATATTGTGTAAAGAAATTCATTTTGTAACTAAACATTCATAGGCAAATTATCCAAATGCACCAACAAGAGAAGAAACACATAGACATCTTTAAAAAAGTAAAACTACATCCACAAAATGAGCATACATCCACAACAGATCCAACTGAAGTAACAGGTAAATCTCCAAATGAACGAACAACAGTGTTGAAATTTGCTCACAGCAAAAAAATAAAAAATAATTCACACACGTTTTTATGTGGTTCGGTCAAATACCTACATCCACAGTAAGGCATCGAATATGATTTATTATCAAATTTTTAATCGTACAAAGCTGTATTTCTCACTGGAGAGGACTACAAATATTAAGTACATGTGTAATATGAAAATTCTAATCCATGTACCTCAATTTAAATTCCAAGAAAGCTAGGATAATTCACAATCCCAAAAAAAATTGTCAATGAGCTGGCCTGTCTCAAATTACACCGCAGGCAAATTACAACACAATTTTCATTTCTTTGGCTCAACACCAAAACCCATGTGTTAATTGCATCACATCGGCGGCTAGAAGCCAAAATCCTACAAATTGTAACATGAGAAGGCCGCAAATACAGCCGAAAATATCTAAAATAATAGCATTAAAAAGATTCCCACATCTAATGTAATCCTTAAGATTATGCATGAGCAGTAGAACTTCAAAATGAAGTAAGCCTTCTGTATTACCATTTCTCAACCATAAGAGATGCAGCACAATTCAACTATTTCAGCCAAGAAAAAACAAATTTTTAAGCCAGTAGGAGTCAAACCGAGTTGCAAGGAGCTAAACTGGACCAATTTACAAGACCTTTTGGGCCCATTTTTAATTTACAAAACCTGCTCACACCCAACATATCAATCATCATCATGCGTATAATCTACACATGCCACACTATATGTTGTTATAAATCATCTGATAGTTGATGCAAGACAAGTCTCAATCAACAATGCCTTATTTGGTTATTGATTCAAGCAAGAAAAATCTTGAGAAGACTTTTAGCAGACTCAACTCTATTGTCATGCATAATCTTAAGGCAAATTACAACACAATTGGCAAGAAAAATCTTTACCACCATCAGCCAACGCTTTTACGTGAAAGAACAGCCAATTGGCACCATAAAAACATGTGATCAAACATAGCTCCCTAGAACATGCAATATTTACCGCATTGAAGGAAAGCCAGCAAATACTATCTGTTTGAAAGAAATACTATATTGTAACGTATTGCATCCATTTGAAAAACACAGTGACAGAAATGTTTATTCCTCCTCAATGAGGCATTCTAGGCAGATAATTCCATATTGTATCTATTTGAAAGAAATTTTAAGGAAAGCCAGCAAACTTCAAAATAAAATGAAAACATGGCATTTTTGAACCAACAGAAACATAATCCCCAAAACCTCCACAAGAACAATGCATCATTTTATACACCCGGCAATGACAAACCTTGAAGTTCAGAATTTCGTTACTAACATTGTTATTACGGATTTGATTCAAATAAAAATTTGAATCTAACTTTTCTTTCAAATTAGCACTTTTTAACTACTTGGGGAAAAAAAAGAGAAGCAATAGTTGAGAGAAGAATACAAGATGACAAGAGGTAAATTTGAATTTGAATCTAACTTTTCTTTCAAATTAGCACTTTTTAACTACTTGGGGAAAAAAAGAGAAGCAATAGTTGAGAGAAGAATACAAGATGACAAGAGGTAAATTTGAATTTGAATCTAACTTTTCTTTCAATATGAATTCTATTATCTACCATAGAATCGGGGCTCTGAATGCTCCAATCTAAATTAAATAACTTTTAGGATATATTACTTTCATTGTGTAGGATGGAAATGAGGTGTTCCATGAACATGAAAACTGCTATAGTGATGGTGTCAATTAATAATGAAGTGGCTAGCACTAAGAGGCAAGTAGGATCCCTATAACAGAGTCTGAATTTGGCTATAAGTTTTGAGAATTGATCTGAATGATGAGGGAAGATCATTCGCCAAGTGGCTAAGAGATTGATTAGCAGTTTCAAATGGAAGGTGATGCACCTGTTGTAGAATTTCTCAGATCAAAATGAGCCCAACAGTTTGAGAATTTATGTTCAAACATGTAGCAGGAGCAGCAGTTTGATTGGATATTTTCCTTTTCTTTCTTCAGTCAGTACCCAATCGATGGGGACCCAATCCAAATCTTTATCAAAATGGGGAATTCCACCGATAATCTGGCCACAATACGCCTAGAAAGATTATTTTCATAGCATCATTCCACAAAATAATTATAAAATAAAAGAATAAGGTTGATTGGTTGAAGTGCTGCATATAAAGTCTTGAAATTGAGATCTATGCAGGAGCAACATATGTTTTTATAGGGCAATCAAAATGAGGTGACCATTTTAGCGAGCCCTAACGCCAACAGCCAACGCAGAACGCAGCCGAGGCCCCGCGATCCGGCTAATGAAGAAAAACGGAACCGCCGGAAAACAGAACCGCGGGACGCTGCGTTCAGAACTCCGCCGAACGAACGCGCGAAACAAACGCGTTGGCGGCGTTCTGAAAACGCCACCGTTCTGAAAAAGCTGTGCCAAACAGGGTCTTAATCTCGCTGAATAGAATAAAAAAAATCATCCACCTTCCACAGTGATTTCAAAGCTGCATCCACATGTGAAATTCAGTTTCAGCAAAAAACTATGACAAGAACATGAATATATTATTTCTAATGCGACATTTAAGCCTTAGGTCATCGATTTTCCAAGGTAAACATTAATGTAGGTAGGGTTATAACTGTCTATTTTAAACTGGCTCCAACTCAAAATTGGTTCGAGGTCATTTAATCCAATCTCAAGTCAAGTAAAGTATAGTTATAGGACAGCTAGATTCAATCTTGATAAGATATTAAAGTAACCCCTACCAAATCTATTATAAATAACTTTTTATCTGCTTAAATAAAAATATAATTGAAAATGTTACTGGCCTTTCAGTCTTTTAATAGTTTAGTCTCAACAAATTGATAAGCTCATAAAATATCAAAATCCTAAGTCAGACTCAGTCACATCTCCTAATCATCCCACCTATTTTCTCGCTTCCCTATAGAGCCCCATGTAGCTTTTCATTCTCCAATAACTTCGAGTACATCTTCTTCTAAGCACCACTCCAACTCTGCTTGTCTTATTTATTTTGATATCTCATTTTAACTGATTTTATGAGTTTGTATCAATTAACCTTTGAAATAAGGATATGAATCATATATTCATGAAAAGTATTTTAATTTTTTATTACATTTAACTTTTAATAATTTATTATGTTTATGAAATATTTAAAATATAATAGCTATGAGACTTATGCTCCATGGCTCAATGCTTATGCCTTACGTATCCTCCTTTTAAATATTGATTTGATGTAATTATATAATGAAACTATTTCATAAATTTCGCTGAGGGTGCGCTATAACAGTTAACAGCAATAAACTAAAATGCAAAATTAATGCAAAAACAGATTTTCAAAAGCCAAATCAAGTTACAGCCATTAGAAAACAAGTAACTTAACAAGCATCCTTAAAGAATCGAAGTAACCCCATAAACTAACTCTCACAATTAACAAAAGGGAAATTTACATGCATGCTACACTATTCTTATGTATTTGCATATCTAACACCCAAAGTTTGATATTTACACTTATAACAACATGGTGTCACAAACCTATTTATGAAAATGTGCATTTCACCTTTAAGAAAATAGCAATGGTGGTATTTTTGATGTGATGTTAAATATTTGAGTGCTATGCATGTAAATATGAATGTTTAGGTGTTAGAAATGTGAATACCTAAGGAATACCTAAGAATTGTGTGGCATGTTAAAAAAAATAAGAGCATATGCTCTCGATTGTTTTTCAATAAACAAGAAAAATGCAAGTGGATTACCGAAATAAACCATCACAAATAAATCCTCAATAAGAACAGAACCGGCAAAATTTAACCAATTAAATGGCGTGGATCCAGATATCAGAGTTACTTCTCATAAACTCAAAATATTGGGCTAAAGAGAGTGGTAGCTCAAGCCTTCTTAAAGGCATATAAAGAGTACAGCTTGGATCAACAAGATTTTTGAGCCTTCTACAATTTACACTATGTGTGTTGAGTGAAATAGATTAATCCTCTGCCATGCCTACAAATATTTATACTCCGAATACAGACATGATGCATTAGGTGAATTTTTGGGTGAAGTGTATTATGATGACCGTACTGTTTATTTATGGATATATTGAGTGTCTGACAGATGGATTAAGTTGTTGAACAAGAAATTTTCATTATTTTCACTATAAGAGATAAGATCAATTGAAATATGCCTTTTTTATTTTTATTCTGGCTGACATAATTTTATTGATAAGGATTGAGGGCTTTGAAGTGACCTTTAAATAGGTTTTAAGCAGTTTTTCATCCAATTTCACAGAACAAATCTCCTTATAATATTTGATGCAATTTGACTGAAAAATATAAAGTTGTAAAACATAATTCTTTGCATGGAAAGATGATTCTCACAGGTATCCATAGTAGCTCAAAGCTTTGAAGGCTTGGGGAAAATATCAGGAGTGAACTTCTGGGCAGCACTCAAGCTCCCCTTAATCTTCATAGCTCCCCTGCATCAATCCAGAATAAATATGCAATCAATCCACGTATTCCCTAAAAAAAGGAAGAATACGATCGAAGCCAATCGATAAACTTCTCATCCCAACCTTATGAAAGCAATCTGAGGGTTCATTTTCCCGCTGGCAATGGCGAGAAAATCTTCATCCTTGAAGGAGAAAGTGGCATCGGGTTTTCCCTTGTAAGAACCTAACGAATATGAACCAAAATAAAACATGGAATAAAATTTGGAAGAAGAAAATTAAGGAGAGAAACAAGAGGGGAATTAGGAGGAAGAGAGCGAGACCATGCGTGACTTTGCCTTCCTTGAGGTTGACTACGTAGATCTCTTCGTCTACTCCTATCTTCTGTTTGTGGAGAAAAAAGTGGGGGGAGGGGATTAGTTAGGTTAAAAGAGGGGAAGGGATGAAAGGAAGGACCTTAGGCGCGATGTTGAGCTGATAGACGAGGCCGATCTTCTTGGTGAGGTCTTTGCCGGCGTCTGTACTGAGATGGGCTTTCATCTGATCAAGAAGGACCGCCGATTTTAGCGAGCTCCGAGATCCGGCCGCCATTGCTAGCTTTCAATTTGGAACGGTCGGGATGAGAGAGAGAGAGAGAGAGAGAGACGCTCAAATCTGCAAAGACGTCGGGATGAGAGAGAGAGAGAGAGACGCTCAAATCTGCAAAGATGGAGCTGGATAAATCACCATGGAGGAGAATTTCGTTCAACTATTAAATAATTTCGTTCAACTATTTATAAGTGTGTTCAGAGCATAGCTAGGGTGTACAATCAATTTGCACATACGGATCCTCTATAAATAATATAATAATTTTTTGCTCCTAACACAAAAGTTATTTCTTTGTGGCATAATTAGTATGATGCACTTAAATTAATTTTTAGATGAGACTTCTTTTGCAACAAAATTTGAATTAATATAGTTATTAAATAATAACAACTTGTTTTTGTTTTGTTTTATTAATTATTAGCCTTTGTTTTCATTTACATAGGAGTATCATTACATATTTTATGCTTTTATTTCTATTTTTTTTTTCTTTTTTGGAGAAATGAGGGCTTTGCTCAGTTATATTAATAGGGAAAGGATATAAAATATAGTTTTAAAATAACACCAAGATGGAAAAAAAACTAAAAATTCATCTAAAAAAGAATAAAAAAACCACTAAATAGTTTAACATCCAAATAAATATTGTTCTAAAAATATGAAAATAATCCAACTAAAGGAAAGATCAACCCAAAGAGTCAATGCTAGGAGAATAACAAACAGAATGAGTCTCCACCCAATAACATCGAAAAAAATGGAATTGACAAGTCAGAATAGCATTGGAAGTAGATATTAACACATGGGAGGTCAATCCAAAAATGTAGTTGAAGCAGTTATCCAAGTAAAAATATCTACACACAAAGTTAAAGTATGTATTCACCCTAAAGTTGTAAGAGTAACTGATAACATTGGCATAAACTGGGTTGTTAAGATAGAATAATAAAAAAGCAACCATCATCCCGAGGTCAATCAATTCAGAAATGTGGCTGGAGTATCTAAGTAATATTTTCTCCACAAAGAAATAAAGAAAATAATCACTAAGAAGCTGCAAGAGTAACTAAAAAAAATTACTCAAACTAATATATGATGAAAAGATAATAAAAATATCAAAATAGGAGTTAGAATAACACCCCACAACAAAATATTAAACCTCCTTTAAGAATAAAAGGATTATATATGTGCAAATCAAAATATAGCTAAAACCTAAAAAATGATATCTATAATTGTTGAGTACTATTCTAAAAGAAAACATATAACTACTTCATGCATATAGAAAAAAATAAAACAACAAATAAAAGGAAATGCAAAGTTATAAATCCATAATATCGGTTAAGTCTCAATGTCTTGGTTGGATTTCATCATAACTCAAAATAGAAAAACCAGTCAATCCTCTCACATGAAGAGGAAGAAACCGAAAAGAAAACTATAATAGGAAATGATAGATAAAATATCAGCAATAGCAAAGAGCCTATAGTATATACAAATTCCTTAAACGTAAAGAAATAATATATTTGTTCTTCTATTCTTTATTTTTTTTTCTTTAAGCATCCAATGAATATTTTGAATAATAACCTCAATAGAAGTTGTACCATTTTTAAAATCCTGTAATTCCTTCTAGACAGTTCATAATATGCAGTAATTTTCATAATTAAAACAACTTATAAACTTTAAAGGAAATAATATTAGAATGATGTAACACCAAAAATATATTACTTAGAGCAATAAATAATTAACCATTTGGAATGTAGTGACTAAGTAAATTATGAGAAAATGGGCATTCAAAAAATAAATGATTATGAGTTTCAGGTCTGACTAAACAATGAAAGCAAATAGAACGAATGGACACACCCCTAAGACTAAAAATATCCCAGGTTTTAAGACCTTTATGAATAATTTTCAGATGTGAAAAGCAAATATAATAAAGTAACACTTAAAACACACCATCTTGTACCAATCAACACAAGGGTAAATCTCATGCAAGAATAAGAAAACAATTTTATGGGAATAAATATTATGAGTATTCTGAAATCAAATATTATCATTGATAATAATGGCATGATAAATAATATGAGTATAATGATTAAATGCAGAAATGCTCAGAGAAAAAAAAACCCAAGCACCATTAAAAATGATGTCATAAAGCTTGGTGCACTTTAGAAGATAAAATCAGATAAAAACATAATCACCAAAAAGTTCATATAGCGAAGACCCGCAAAGTCAAAGATCATAATAGAATAACAAATTGTTATTATAGTTGACCTAATAAGTTAAATAAGGTTTACATTTCAAATTCACTTTAACAATATCTTTCTAAAAGCAGTAAAATAATGTGCTTTACACCAAATAAAATCATAATGGTTCATGCACCAATTAGATAAATAAGAGCAATAATAATGAAAGGTTCAAATAAATTTAGATTTATACATAACATTAAATATCTAACCAAGACTACCATTATGTTTAGGTAAAGTGAATTTTTTTTAACCTCATGCTATGGAGCTTCTTATTATTTTCATTATGGTGTAGCAAAGTAATAATCATAAGTGAAATTTTCTTTCTTAAACCCTTAGGAAAATTAGTAGAATAAAATCATTAAAAAACATAACTTCATTAGTAAATTTGATAAGTTAGAGTTTACCAACCACTGATAAAAAATTTTGCTTTCAACCAGCTAACTAAATTTGAAGCTTATCAAAAAGATTTTGACAGTCAACAACAATGAATTTAAAAGGTTTAATAGTAACCCAAGATAATCTAAGGGCAAAAACATAAAATCAAAGCAATTAATATTACAAATTTGTCGTTAAATCAAAATGTACATAGATTTAAATAATCAAATAATAGATTTAAAAGTATTAATTTGACGGTTGGATGCTTTAATAAAAATTTTAAGCATAAAAGTAATGCAACTAAAAAAGTCAATTTCAGTCGTACCAAAAATGAGAAGATCATCACCAGAAATCAAATATAAAATTAAATGAGAAGCCATCTACAAGCACGGAAGAAGATTAAATAGTACATCTACATACTACTAAAGCTGAAAATACTATAATATGCAGTGAAAAGAAATGGCAACAATAAATTGCATGCAACCTACATACTACTAAAACCGAAAGCACAAGAGAACGCAGTAAACAAAAGGGAAAATTATAAAGTGTAATCTGCAAACTATTGAAACTGAAAACATAAACGTACAAAAGAAAAAAAAATAAAACAAAACTATAAAGTGAAATCTATATGTATAACATTAAAACTAAAAACATAGAAGTTACACAGTTGGATTAAATGTCCTAAGTTTTGAACATGTATAACTTAAATTTTTAAAGCGTTGAGCCCTGAATTCACAACCCTACCCAACAAGCAAAATCATGTTGTGGATCGATCTTACAAAATTTTGATCTGACCAGATGTGGATCAATTATTTTCTTAAGCCATAATTATTGATAGGAAAATCTGTTTTCACTTCTTATGTAATTACATATCAAACACCTGAACAATTATTTTTTGCAAAAAATACGACCATATATGTAGTTGAAAAATTGTATTAAAATGTGAATTTTAAGTGTTAGATATATAAATACATAGAACTTTACTGGTATGTATGTAAATCTTTTTTAAACAAACATTTTGAGATTTAACATTTAAGCCTACACAATACCCATCACATTTAAACAATAGGGTTTAGGGTTTACTTAAAAATAAGAGAAAATCAAAAACATTAAAAGCTTCAAAGAGTAAGAAAGGAAGAAATGAAGTCTTCAAAGATCTACAGTTTTCTACAACAAATCAAACAAGAAAGCACAAAAAATGGAGAGATAAACCTAAACAAAAAAACCAAAAAAAAGGGAAAGAAAAACCACCAAAAAAGACAGGAAAGATAACCAACTAAAGCTCAAAACTTACCTACAATAAAATATTAAAATTTCATCCTAGATTTCCAAAATATAAAATATATTCAAAATTGGTTGAATTTTAATAAAGGCTACAATTCATCATAGCTCAAATAATTAATCTCAGTAACTAGTGAAGATCAAGAAAGAAATGTAAACTTATCAACAATAAATTAACCATAAAAATAATAGCTAGCTCAAACAGCAAACTAAATCAGAGCAAAAACACCAAATTCACTCTGAAAAACTCAATCCAACACGATGGAAGTATATTGAAGGTCAGTCAATATCTACAAAATTCATATCATCCAACGAAAATAACATTTCACCTGAGCCAAAATTACTTTCACCAGAGCTTAGAGCATACCCGAAGAAAAAAAATTTAAAATTTCATCCTAAATATTGAATTTATAATACTATATTCAGAAAAATGGTTTGGTTGGATTTTAATAATGGTTGGAAATCTTCATTGCTCAAAACCCAACTCCATATATGATCAAAGTAGTAACAAATCCAATTCCAAACCATAGTACTATTTCAGTTTGTTCCAAGCAATAAAGAATTTCCAAAGAGTGGAAAAAGAAAAGCAATAACCCATATTACTATTTCAATTTTTATTTTATTTTCATGGTCATAATGAATCAAGCATCAAGTCATTCAAGCTTGTTACCTTAAGAGAGTTCTTTGTATGCTCATTTAGCTGATTAAAGTTTGAAAAATATGCTTTGAATTTACACTAGTAAAATGTTTTTATTTTCCTTTTGCATTTTATTATTATGGGTTGTATAAGAATTTATTAACAGTCTTCTCCTAGATGTAATGAAGATGATGTCTATATGATTGTTGACCTCACTTGTGGTTGAGGTCTAGAAAC